AGAGAGAGAAAGACCTCTTCCCACAAATTGACAACTACATTGACCAAATACAATACAATAGCATTGATTTAAGGAAAACTTGTTAGGAAACCAATTTGAAGTCTTATGTGTGCTCTATGGTCGCCACAAAAAGACTTAGGCCCAGATCAAGTCAGTCCCATGCCTGGTAGCCGGCTTATCAATGGTCATGACTCAAGTTGAAGCCAAGAGTGCAAGATCCGTAAACTCAATTTGCCAAAGATTTAGGAGGCTTTTGAGAGCTTATGGGCTGAGACTTGTGAGTGATAGAACTAAGGGCAAATGCTCAAACAACGACGTTAAAACTGAACCAAGATCAAATCAAATTGTGATACAAAGACAGATCACAAAAAACATGTTCAATCTCTCATGATCATGTGGCTCCTATGCTCCATATAAAACATAAAACTCTTGCCACTGTGATTTACTATGACTAGCAGCAATTAGCCGCAATTCTATCTCAAAAGAATCAATCAAACTTGACATGTCTTGGATCAAAATTACACAAACACATTGCACCAAAAACCAGCTGAATTTTTAAATTATAATGATCAAGCATAGTTTGCTGGTTTTCATGTTGATATAAAATCAGTGGATCAAAATCAAGCAGTTATTTGATCATAATTTTCTCATAGAATGGATCAATAAACTCTTGAATGATCAGACCATTGATCCAAGAACCGTCTCAGTACCAAACATGATCTCAATCTTTTGATCTATAGATCTGAAAAATGAAATCACTTTTGTTTTCTCTGCTGCAAAAACAGCAGAAAATTGAACTGAATTTTGTTTGATTTGATGATATGATTTGTTCTAAATCCCTGTAAAAGACTATCTAGACATTAAGGCATGTTCGAAATTCAATTTACATCCAAGATCATCAAGAAAACTTGATCCAGTCATTACTATATTTAAGAATTCTCTGGTGTTCATGCTGATGCAAAACCGGCAGCTCATGGATCAAGTTCGAGCAGTTGTTTGACCAAAATCTTGTTTCAAGTTGATCAATAGTCTTTAGTAACATCAATCACATGATTCTGGAACAAATATATATCAAATGTGAGCCATTTCATGCAACATTTTGATCAAAATCTCATTATAATGCTGCTGAATTTTTTGGCATGATAATAATAGAAAATTCATCTATCTTTGGCATGATTTGATGATGATAATTCACTCCAATTTGATCCACGAGATTCTCTAGGGTTAAACTAATGATCCATAAATGACTTGCAGCCAAAACTTCAAGATAAATAATATCAAATCGACAATATTCTACTATTTTTCAGCTCTGAAAAATCAGCAGGGTGATGATGAAAATAATGGAATTTTTAGTCACGATTTTGTTAGATTATTCATAAAAACACTTGATGGTAATGGAAGCTGTCTTGGATGTGGTCTACACTCTACAGTCACAATTTATGCTTGTTCAATCTTCTAAATGCCGTTTTTCTGTTCCTGGCTAAAAGTTTCTAGAGGATTATGATTTGAAGTCTCTATAATGTTCAAATTTGAGTCAAGGTCAAGGAAATATGGGATGGTTCTCCCAATTTTAAGGAAATTTAATGTGGAGTAATACAAGTTAATTTTGAACATAATTGTTTTTGTATTACCTTTTATATCTCGGTAGAAATAGCAAAGCAAATTGGTAACGTAAAGTTTTAAGAAATCCCATAATGCCACCTACTCCTATTTACACCTAGACCGGCCAACATATCTGCTCCTATATTTGCTTCCCTTATGCATGTTGTCCACGGTATTATGATCTCCTTGATTTTGCAAATATTACTGATTTGTACAGTGAATGTCCTTTTAAGCCATCTAATGGTGCTAAGGTGGTCGTCTTCGGTTTTGTTTATTATCATTGGAAGCCCTTCTAATGTCACATACACCCATATCGCATTATTAAATAGTAGCAGTCTTGCATAACATTTGAGAATGTCTTTATATGCTTCTCAGATGAGTCCACACCCCAATCGTCCGAGGTTTCCTTTAGGCTTTAGCTGCTCCATCTAAAATTAACTTGTAACATTCGCTCACATGGTTTAAGATAGTGTGATTCCTTCAAAATTGATATCTTTCATGGCTGGAATCTGTCTGGCCTATGATAAACACCTGTTTGATGATGTCAACTTTTGTCTCTATAACTCACCCCAGAATACTTTGTTTCCTGGCCTGAGTTGTGAAAAACAGCACACCCTTTATATCCCATCACATTCTTCTGCAGATACAAAAAAAAACACCAGATATAATGTTAGGCATGACCCAATCAATTTAAAAGAGAATTCAACGTGCCCAACAATGCCTCCTCACTTTATTTGCAATGGCAAGTGTTCAACGGATTCTTCCTTGCCCTTTCACAACATGTACATGTTAAGTAAATATGCTTCTATGGCAGAAGAGGCCTAATTCTATGGAGTAATTTGAAAATCAAAGTTCGGAATACTTTTTCTTGGTGAATATTACTAATAACAAAAGGAAAAAAAATCTTCCTGGTGAATGTACAAATTTATCATATATTCTCTGAACTCCTTGGAATTGGTGGTTTGGTTGTTTTGTAGAGCTATCCCGGTAAGTTAATGGATATTTTGATCAATTTAACATATTCACCATGATATTGCTGGCTGTTGAAAATAATTTAAGTTAGAGTGCAATCACCATAGCTTTTTGACCTTGCACATTAATGGAAAAACTAAAAATCAATTTAATCATTTCTACCCTGTCAACATGAACATCTATGCAAACTTGGTTCATTGTAGTGTTGAAGAAGGCCGTCATTTTGGAAATTTTCTACTATGAAATTTTAGAGTGAATAATCCGGTATATATCTCAGATATTGATCAAGAAATCAATTTGCTTTTGCTAAAATGTCTTCTGATCACAAAAGGAAAAAAAATCTTCCTGGTGAATATACAAATTTATCATATATTTTCTGAACTCCTTGGAATTGGTGGTTTGGTTTGTTTTGTAGAGCTATCCCGGTAAGTTAATGGATATTTTGATCAATTTAACATATTCACCATGATATTGCTGGCTGTTGAAAATAATTTAAGTTAGAGTGCAATCACCATAGCTTTTTGACCTTGCACATTAATGGAAAAACTAAAAATCAATTTAATCATTTCTACCCTGTCAACATGAACATCTATGCAAACTTGGTTCATTGTAGTGTTGAAGAAGGCCGTCATTTTGGAAATTTTTTACTATGAAATTTTAGAGTGAATAATCCGGTATATATCTCAGATATTGATCAAGAAATCAATTTGCTTTTGCTAAAATGTCTTCTGAGAGGGTTGGGTTCTCTTGGTGGACTTTGAGTATCAAAAACTTCGGCAGACAGGATTCATTTCACTTTAGGGTATTTCTTGTGGAAAGTTTGGTTTTGAAGGTGTTTGCTAGGGGCAAAAAGGAGTTAACAGTCCTGAAATGAAAGAAGTGCATGGCTAAACCTGTTCCATAGGTGCACGAGAACTTTTGGAATCTGGGGTTGTAGGATTCTCTGTCGCAGAGCTTTGTGCAGAATTGCAGATGAAAGGAAAATGCGTAATGAAGCTGGATTCATGGCCGTGGAGGAAGCAAAGGAGGGAGGCCATAGAGCAAATGATCAAAGTTAATCTAGGTGATTCTGCTGGGGATGCTTGAGATAGCTCTGCTGTTGAGCTAAGATTTGGCAGAGGTGGCAAGGGTTGATGGTGAATGGGCTATTTTTTATGGTTCTGGAACTAGGACATCTTCTGTGCAGAGAAAGCTGGAAGTGGATTAGGGGGGTGGTGTTCCCTATGTTCAGCCAATAAACAAGGTTTTGAAGGGTTTAGAGTAAATAGCAGGATGGAGCGGTTTTGAAGAAATAATTGAGAAACAAAGACGGGATTAATAAATCATCATGAAGGTTGGACCTGAGCCAGGACCTATTTGTGATGTTTGTGGTGATGATCACCGCCTTCCTAGGGTTGGTCGAGCATTTGATGGTGAACTTGGTATATATCTTTTTCAAACATGAGCTTTTGGAGGTTTCAGAAGATGTTGGGGGCTTATGAGTGCTAGAGAACCTTGGATATGGGAGTTTTGTGTGAGCAGACCAAGTTACCCTACTGCAGTAGAAGGAAATATTGTAGAATGAGTGGGGAAGTTACAGGTAACTAGGATCTTAGAAGGGGTGCTCATTCTTGTGAATATTTGTGCTCAGAAATGATAGGGTTAGGGTGGGGTATCTGGGTGTATTTGTTTCCTCATTGTGTTATTTTCTAGCCCTTTCTTTTCTAGCTGTAATCCCTTTTTCTTTGCTTTGGGAATTTCGTGCAACATTTTCAGATTCCTCAATAGCTGTCATCTGTTTCGGATTTGTGCGCAGCTCTTGTATTTTGGAAAAATTGAACCATTTTATCCAATTTCTTTACACCTTTCTGTTTAATCTTGCTACTGTATTGTTTTCTGAGGTACTGTTTTCATCCTTCACACTTTCTTTCTGTGCATTTGTTACCCAATACATGGCCTGAAAGCTACTATTGTTTTTTCTATTATACAATGTTTTGGCATGCACAAATTGTTTGGTTTTGGGGCATGATGCATCTTTCTGAAATCCTTGATTATTAAACCCTTTTGTTTACTGCCTTTCTGCGTCATTTTTTAGGATGTCTGTTTCAATGTTGTGTCATATTTCCCCACAATGTGATTTTAGTTTTTTTTTTGGGTAAATCAGTGGGGATTTGGGCCCTACCCACTTTTCAATAATAAAGAATGGGAAAAACAAAGAATGCAAAGATTATGTTACAAGTAATGTTAGTGTTTTCCCTTTCTCTTTTGCTTTTCTACCTTTGGGTTTGGTTTTGTTGCTTAATACACATGTGGGTACTTAGTCTATATATCAATATCTTATGACACAAAAACCTGATTATCTCCCTGTATTCTAGTTTCCTTTTGGTTTCTGATAATTAGTAATCCTTGTAAAGTAGTACCAAAAGACTTAACTTCGTTTTATGCAGGTTTGGGGAGGCAACCCTGCAAAGTTCCTCCGAAAGCTCACTGAAGAAGAGATAGCCTTCATCTCTCAATCAGCGACTAACTATATGAACCTTGCCCAAGTGCATGCGGCTGAGAATGCCAAGCCATTTGAAGAGATAGAATTTGAGAAGGTTCTGAGGAAGAAGTTTGCTCGCAAGGACGAGGCTTATGACTCCATGTTGGGTATTGTGCGTGAAGTTCCACCTGAGCTTGTTCTTCCTGATAACATTTTGCCAGACAAAGCGAAGAAAGCTTCTACTCAGTGAGTTCTCAATCTCTCTCATCAAAATTTGTAAGTAAATCTCTCATACTTGATTGAATGGCATGGGATGTTAGACTTTTCATGCAAACGTGGCAATTGGTTTTCACCAAATAATCTTTTCTCTCTTATCCAAAATTTGGATTTTTTGTTCTTTTTGTTGTGATAAGTGGATCTAGCTTGCTGTTAATTGTTATTTCTTATCACTAGATCCCAAAATGATTTGGGTATTTCCGGTATTCCTTGTATCATTATCCAAGATGGTGCAGTTAGTGCAGAGCCACTTTGTGGGTCTCTTGTGGATTTTGATGATTTTATCTATACTGCAGGAGTGTACGTACTCAGCTTACTCACATAATTTTATAAGTGCAACATCACCTCTCCATTTGTGACCCTACAACAAGATTCCCCTATTTATTCTTTTCCGATGCGTAAACTAGTCCTTCTAAACTTTCCAAAAAAACACCTTTTTCAAAGTTAGTTCCTTTTTCAATATTTATTGACATCCAATTGAAACCAGAGTTATTCATTTCATTGGTTTGCGTAGACTGAGCAATTGTGCAGGATTCACCATTAATTTCCTACTTTGCATGCTCGTTGGGTTTTATAGGAAGCATATTCTTACCTCATCATCTTTAACATTAGAGTTGCATGCCAGGAATGTGATCGCCATCAATGACATCTTGTTATTTCTTGTTAGCGTTTTTTTTGCGGGGTGGGAACCTAATAAAAGTAAGTGTATATTGTGTCGGCATATGGAGAGGGCTTCCGCATAGTTTAGCGACTGCTATACGCCATAACCCTCAAACTCCATTTTTCTTCAGAGATTCAGAACCCAAAAACAATCCACAGCAGCTGCAAATTTGTTCTCCACCATAAAGAGAGGTAGATTCCCATAGAGAGAGAGGGAGATTCGATGGAGTGCTTTTAGGGTTATATATATATATATATATATATTTGTTTTCTGAAAATTGATTGTACAGTGTAAGAGAATGATTGGAGCTTTTTTGGGTCCTCAAGGCTACCAATGGTCCAGGCCTTGCCTCAGGGCTTCCGGGCTGGACTGGAACTTCGGGCCATTTTTTGGGCCAAATATGGGTCTGGGGCCAGGCCCAGGATAGGAAAGGGCACCCTTTTTTCGGTCCAGGTCCGAGTTTTTAACGGGTCAGCCCGAAAATCCTGGAATCCTCCTTGTCCCTCCCCCGTTTTTCTCTTGCTCCCCCTGCCGGAAGACCTCTCTGGCATCTCTCTCCCTCTCTCTATGGGAACAAGAAAAGTGGGTCTCTTTCACTCTCCCTCTCTCTCTCTAGGAACAAGAGAAGTGAATCTCTCTTTCTCTGCCATCCGTTATTTCTTACTGCTCTTTCGTACGCGTTTGCTTAGCACCACTGTTCTATAGAATGGTGTCCCGAATGTGTAGGACCACAAGAGAGATGGTAGACAGAGGAGGGAAGGTGGTGAGAGAGAGATGGTAGATAGAGGAGAGAGAAACGAGAAGAGGTGGTAAGGAGCGAGAGTGGACCATCAGTGACCAATTTTGGAAACCATTTTCACATTAATGGCAGGTCTTGTCTGCAATTGTGGAAAAGAAAACTAGAGAGAAAATGGGTTTTGGAGAGATAAGAAAGTTCAAGAAAATGGGTTTTAGAGAGAATAGGTTCTTAGAGAGAGAGAGTGCAATGGGGGTGAGAAACCTGGTTTTTTAAAACAAAGAGTGAATAGATTTTTAGAGAGGGGGGAGGGGGGTGGGGGTGGGGAATGGGGTGAGTGGCCACGTGTCCCACCTCTTTTTTCAATGTTTTTATTTTTTAATGTTATTTTAGGCTTTTAAATTTTTCTAAAAAATATTTTAACATAAATTGTTTATAGATATTTTTTTTGGCTTACAAATAAAAAACAATTGAAGAGAGATTCTTATTTTTTTTTAAAAAAAAGAGGTTCTAATTGGACCGGGCCGGGCTTTTAATAAAGCATGTTTGAGACAAGCCTGGCACTGGGCCGTGCAGTCATAAAATTCAGGCTAGGGCCTTCCCAGACTGAGTCGAATTTTTGTGGGCTTTTACCAGGCCCAGGCCGGCCTAAACCCTCCAGGTGGCAGCCCTAGTCTTCCATCACCAAAAAAACATGGCCAAATAAAGGTTCCAGAATGGAGGAGCATGTTTAGTTTCCAGGAGTTGGGTACCTAAGTTAGAAAAAAGCGAGCTCCACTTTTGTTCTTTTGGATGTTAATTTTAAGGGAAAGTATATAATTACACCATTTACTTTTGGTACAAGGGAAAATATATAATTACACCATTTACTTTTGGTACAAAGTGGTTGCTAAATTTAAGGGAAAGTATACAATGAGACCATTTATGTTTTGGTACGAGGTGGTTGCAATTATTCTTGATCATTGGATGTGAAATTTGGTGGTTGTATTTATTTCATTGATTAAACTTAAAGTTAAAAAAAAAAAAATTGAATTTGTGATCTACCCATGCTATCGTACTTAAAGAAACGAAAAAGGAAGGTATTGGAGGGATGCCAACTTTTTACGCCTGCTTCGATGTGCATGCCCTTGCACTTGTGGAATGCTGACCCTTGGTAAGTGGAAAGGATGATAGGAGCAACAGGAATGGTAGGGGCAACCAAGCTAAGGGTTAAGTTGTGGTTTCTTTTTGGACAAACTCGGAGGGTAGAACCTGCAAAGTGGGTGCCAAGTGCTCTTGACCAAAGGAAAGAGGTCAAAGGACCTCAACGAGTCGATGGGCTTTGTTTTTTATTTTGCTGTTTAAAACCCAGTGATTCTCAGATCGAGAATCGGCTAGGATTGGTTTTGGGATGGTATTGATCCTAGGATTCTCCTAAACCTTTTTTTTTCTTTTTCTTTTTCTTGTTTTAAGTCTTAACTTTTTTAGGTTCCTTTTAAATTTCTACCCTGCAAATCCCTATTTTAATTTTAATTTTAATTTTCTAATATTGCTCTACATCACTAATTTGAACCGATTCATATGATTGATCTATGTTGGGTGAACAATCCACCTTATTGATCGGTGATGATCCGTATTCTGAAGCAATGATTTGCGCATTGATTATGGGCTCAACAAACATGGTGGCCGTCCACTCTATTGATCCGCATTATGGGACTTTGGGTATTGATTATGGGGTTTCAGCAAACATGGTGGCCGATGTTAAAATTCTCTCATTTTGGGGCACCGATATTAAAATTTTCTCTCATTTTGGGGCACAATAAAACGGCGTGGCATATTGTCTCTCAGGCGCGCTCCTATAGGGGTAGACTGTTCACCTGCTGCATTGCATTGTAAATTGGATGGAGCTTGAAAAAAACAATAAAAAATAAAGAACTGCGGCAATTGGTTCCCGGTAAGTAAACATGGATAAAGATTCTATAAGGGCTAGGCTTATGAACACATAGGAAAGCTTCCCTTCGAATCTTTGTCCAGAAAGCACTTTGGGCATTAGAAATTTTTATGATGGTTCTAAAATCAATTTCTAACCCCGATGAAATTAAGATAAGAAAATTAAGGCAAAACAGGTAGATAATTTGTTACAATAAACAATATTTTTAGGACATGCGATCCTATTTTTTTTTTCACAAAGATAATATTCGAGCCAAGGGATAGGACAAAGTTGGTCCATACACCCTTTTACCATTATGCTTTTGTGGGAGTATATTGTTCATCTAATCCCTCAGGCAAAAGTCTCTCTAGGGAGGATTTTTTTAATCTAAAATTTTGGGAACTACTTATAAATCATTGGATTATTATTTATAATAGATAAATTTTGAATTTTAAGTTTTTTTACACTTAGATCTCACTTTCAAAAAATTGGACGGTCTATGTTCAAACTTGATACGTTATTTTTTTTCAAATGCATCAAGAGTGAGGTTAGTCTATGGGTTGAATGTGTTACATCCCAAATTTTGGGATTCTAAATTTACTCATACATTGGGTTTTACTCAAGGGAGTAAATAGACAATATACTCCCGCCAAAACATGAAATATTTTGGCTTCACAAAAAGTTCTCCAAAATATTAAATAATCCATCCAAGAGAATATGCTTCTCAGGAGGAAAACCTTTGTAAGTGATATTCAAACTCGCCAAATAAAAAAGCAAAGTACATTCTACATTTTGCACAAAATCATTGAGGAACAAGGATCACCTAGTTTAAGAAAGGGCTTAGTAATCCACGATTTCTGGACAATTATTGGAGCATCATATTAAGAACCCTCTATATACAATTACTAAATCAATGTAAATTACTCTGCAACATGGCCCGGCACTTTTGTTTTTCCAGAAAATTGCACAAGCATAACACCCCTACTCCCTTAACGACCTCGCATTCCCAAAATTTGAACTAGTCTGGGTATTTAGAACTTCACATAAGCAAGGTAGAAAAGTTGTTCGAAACCAAAAAAAAAGCTCTTTCTTGCTCTCTATCTGTTGATCATGATCACGGTAATGGTGCAAAAAGGTCCAGAGAATTAGGTGATGTCAGATAAATATGCAATAGATGGTTGCGCAAAATCACAGCTATGTTATTGACAATTGCAAAATAAAGCAAATACACAAGACAAAAATACAACTTTTTTTCAAGTTAAATAAAATAAGATAACCAGAAAAGTATGCAAAGAGATTATTTACTTTTGGTATAATAAAATCGTAATCAGTATTGTCCATCAGATTTTAGATTGGGTAGTTGTAATAGTATCATTGACTAAACTCGAAGTTCATAAATTTGTTTTTTTTCGAATTTCATGACACAAACCTAACCATCTAATTTGACATCTAAAGGCAATAAATAATTATGACATCCTTATAATAAAGTTAGGGGATTGTATCCTATGTAATCATTTACGATTGTTACAAAGATGTCACAATCATTCTATACAATTAGATATCAAATTGGATGACTTGGGATATATCACAAAGTATGAGAAACGTTTTTTTTTTTAACTTTGAGTTCAATGAGTGACACACAATGACCCTATTCAAAATATGATAGACAAGAGCGATTATGACCTCTTTATGCTAGAACTAAATAGTCTCTTTATATGCTTGATCTAAAGATAAATGAGCTCATTGTATACAATCCAAAAAAAATGCTTACAAATTGTTTGGGATTCGGAATCTCTTGGATTTGGTTAGGCGGATTCCTTTAGACCATTTGACTTATATCATGTCGGTGGATGCCCAATGGTTCGGCTCTTTTTTTTTATTTTTTTTGCTACTTTTGGTTCAAGATCAAGTATGAGCAGAATTTACCCTGAGATGATGAGCAAATGAGGAAAATTCGTAGAGAGAAATTTGGCTCAAAATTGAATGATTTGTAAAGAGAAAATGGTGTTTGATC